TTTCATATCACATATCTTCATTTGTTAATATAAAAAGAAAGAAGATCTCAATGTAGTTTAAAATACACTGTTTAAAAAACTAAATTTGATTTATTTAAGGAAATTTTTATGAATTTTACTGAAAAGACTTTAAATACACTCTAAATTTTTTTTGTTTATTTGCGCATATTAAGAAAGGTAACCATTTTCCTCTTTTAATGTGTGCAAATTTGCACACCGTGTAATAAAATTAAACACTGCCTGTTTACTTTAACATACCAAGTTTGTCGCAGAGCGCAAAATAACACATAAAATGTTTAAAATAGAGTAAATGTAAGCCCCTAATGTTTATTATTTGTGGGAAATGTATTTTTAATTTCAAAATTTTTGTCACTTTAAACATTTCATGTGTATATTTATGTGTATATTTTAAAGATCTCAAGTTCAAAATCGAATCCTGAACATCTTATACGTATGTATATTTATACAGATTCCTGTTGAAGAATAGATATTTTTCAGTAGTAGTTTTACACACACTTTTCATAGTATACAGGTACAAATGTAACATATTAATTACTATTTTTTATACTTACTTTGCAAAGTACTTATGTATAAAAGATGTAATTTATAAATTGAAATTACAAGTGTTTGATTTAAAGAAATATCAAAATATATATACACGTATTCCAAGTCCTTAAGATGGGTTAAATTATGTCTTTTTCTTCAAAATGTTTGGCTTTCTTACAAATTATGAGATGGATACGTAAAAAAAGAAAATTGGATACATTTGGATACATTTTTGGGTTGGTCGGTGATACATTTTCTTGGGACGGCGCGGCAACACTGCCACTGACGTATACTAATCAGTGTTGCCGCGCATAATTTTTAGTGGTAGCCAAATTCCTTTAATAAAAGGGCTAAAAAAGAGCTAAAAAAAGTCGTTGTGGCTAAAAATGGAAGCTAAAATGGTTTACCCACATATACATATATAAGTATAAATTTTCAATAAGTAATGGTATATAAAAACAATGAACTTTGGAAAAAAAGCTAATATTTTATCCAGCCAAAAACCTTTTTGTATAAAAGGGGAAATATACGACACCAGCTTGCTGGTTCCATCAAGTGATTGTACCATCAGGCTCGAAGCATATAACTTACCAGCATGCTGGTACAATATTTATTTCTTTACAAACGAGGTCGAGGAAAGATCGAAATGATTAGAGCCGAAATTTCATAATTTTTCTAGCATTTTGTTAAACATTGTTTTTTTTGTAATGCACAACTGCAATATCGTGAACGTTATCTTCCACAAACACGGCTTTGACTCATATAGAGCAAGAAATTTCCGCCAAAAAATACTTTTTACTTAGAAAATTGAGCTAATTTCACCACTAACGACACCAGCATGCTGGTACAATCACACCACAAGAACATACACGGTCAATCGACTTGATGGGTAATTTAACAAATTTAGCATATTCAGGGCCGTGAACTTATCTATTTTAAACTATAGTTAAATCGTTAACAGAACATACAATATATATATGTATATATATCTGTCTTTCTTAGTTTAAAAATTCATCTCTTACATAAATGCAAAAAAAACAAGCTAAGCATATATAACTTTTTCATGCCAAGTATGACTAAATTCTAAAAAGGGCTAAAAGAAGGGCTAGGGGCAATTTTAAATTTATGTGGCCAAAAGGATGTGGTAGCTAAATCTAGCCACCAAAGGGCTAAAGCGGCAACACTGATACTAATATACCGCCCGTATGTCTACTATGCGAATTACAACGAACAAGTTTGTAAGTTTTTATCTGTAACTCTTGGATGTGGCTTCTGAATTTCTATTAAAAACTCTAGCTCACAATTATTAGCGATGATACTATTAATGTTTAAATAAATACAATTTAGATTATTTATTTTTGACCGACTTCCAAAAAAGGAGGAGGTTATCAGTTCCTAGGAATATTTTTTTTTTTTGTATGTTACCGCATAACTTTGGACCACGTTAACCGATTAAGATAATTATTTTTGCACCGGAAAGGTAGTGTCTCAGAGGTGGTCCCATACTAATCTGGTTAAGATCCGATATGTGGATCATGAAATATATATATATATATTTTTTTTTTTATGTGAGAGTTGAAGTCGGTTTTTTTTTGCTAAAAATTACTTGTTCGTTGCTAGAATCGCATTTTACTTTGAGTGTTAGCATGTTTTTTATATGCTGGATAATCTATACTGAAAGCATAATGATTTACATCGACTTCAATAACTTTTTTCTTAACCAATTCGCTACAGTTTACGCATTTAACGATAGTTGAGGTACACTCTTTGCTATCGTGATTTCCAGCACAATTGCTACATGCTATTTTATTGGTACATTCAATCGCTTTGTGCTTATATCCCAGACATTTATAGCATCTTAATACATTTAGATGTTCGTAAACAACGCAAGTGTCCCTCTCGATATTAATTCTTTTTTGTTTCAGTACATTTTCATAAGTGACTGCATCAGTTTCTACTAATGTAATATAGCTTTCCTCCCTACGATTTGTATTATCATACATCTTTAAAACTTTGAACTCTTTTCCAGAGCACACATCGTTCTGCTTGGTTAAGCATTCTACGAGACGATCATTTCCAATTTTTTCAGTTAAACCAACTATTTTAAGTATCTTTTTTATCTCATTTTTCTCTCTTGTTTTCTGTGCTTCGTATTCATTTCCAATGCCCTCTCTTATTTTTTGTTTCTTTCACTTTCATTACAAGGCCGTCCGTAGGCTCTACTACTTTTTTTAGGGCTTCCTTTGTTTCCTTAGCTTTTTTGCTTTTATTTTTCGGTTTAATAACAATTTTACTTGCGCTCTCCGTAACCTTGGTAATTTGAGCATATGACATTTTCGTATTATTATCATTAGCTACGCGTAAATGCTTTAGCAGCTCATTACTCTTTTGGAATTCTTTAGACACATCACTTATGATCTCATTTTTCATAGCGTTAATTTTTACTTCAATATTATGCTCCAAAAATGAGTTGAAATCTGTTATAATGCTACTTTTTATCTGTGAACATTTATTACTAAATATTTGCTCAACTATCTGTTTCACATCAGAAGCTTTCATTTTTGATTGTTCACATTTATTGATTAAATGTTTAATCTCAATAAACTTGGTATTTGTGTCTGACAACGAGCATTGATTACATAACCATTTCAAATTAATATTTTCGGTTATTATTTTTATCTCGTGTCTCTTTATGTTACTGCATTTCACACAAAAATTATAACCACACCCACCAGAACATGATATCATTTCGTCTACTTGAAGCAGTTTCGCAGTACACTTTTTATATTCTGCCGGCATCATGTACAATTTACCATAAGGAGTATGGCAAAAATATACACCCGCAAAAGTAAAAACTATGCAACAATAAAATAATTAAATTAAAATTAAAATATTCTAATTAATCTCCGCGTGGTGGCAGCACTGTTAAGTCAGGTTATCACTTAACTTATGTCCTCACTTTCTTTGTTTTGCCTTTCAACCATGATTCAACAACTACAGGTTGTAGCAATCGTACAAAAACAACATTTACCGTTGGTATGAACTCCTTGTGTCATCACCATCTTTTTTATCTATTCATATTCGTGTGTATATGTATACCCTGCATACCAGGATTTCATAGAATTCTGAAAGGTTTCACAATTTTTTTAAGAATTTTCTTTAAGAAATCGTACAGAAATTTCTTTACTAGTTCTTGTCAACCGCCTCATATGTTTTTCTTTACAGATTTCTAAAAGAATCGTAACAAATTCCCGACACTCTTAAAGATTTCGGGAGCATTTGTTTGCAGGGTATATATATACGTATATGTGTATCTGTACGCGGATATGTAAATATAGCAAAACAGACGATAATTTGACACAAGCGTGCTCATAAGAAGAAGCATAGCTTCTATCGCTATCACCTGTAATTGATGCGCCTTGCCTTTCACCAATAAATCACTGTGGTACTCACAGAGAACGATTATAAGGCGCGCAGTCACCGGCAGAAAAAACACCAAGGCAGAGTAGATAAAACACTTTAGAACAGCCACATGCAAGGCAACAGCTATCCACAACCGCTCCGGCTCGTTTTGTTCAGTTGTACTCAGCGTATAAGCAGCAGTGTTGCCACTTGAGTCTATTTTTAGGTGCAAAAACGCCTACCAAATCAATTACCAAACTACCAAATCTTTGTTCATTATTAAAACGAGATTTCTTGGATGTACAGGGTTTTTAGCTACACGAATTGGCAGTATAATATTGTTTACAGTGCTGGTTAACCATTCATGCCAATCTCTAAGGTTAATCAATACAAATTCGGGCTTTTAAACAAAATAATTAACGTATTGCGTAAAAAAACTTTTGTAAAAATGTGATTACCTTTGAGGTTAATTCAATTCATATCAAACATTTTTAATGTTTAAAAAAACAAAATCAGACATTTTGTGCATTTCAATAAAACAAAATTCCAAATCTTGTTTCAATTTGCATACTCTCACCCTTTTTCTACCAATACACTCACACTTTGCAAATTGCCTATCACCAATTTTTCTTTCAAGACGATAGGCAATTTTTCGTTCAATCTCAACAGATTATCGATAATAGCTTTGGAAAGTGAGTTTTTGTTTCTAGAAAATTGTGTGCTTAGTAAAATTTAGAAAACATAAAGAAAACTTATACATGCGAGTAAAGTGAAAGCAATGTTTTCAACATGTAAACGCAAAGTGAACAAATTTTAATGCTAAGTTCGATTGAATTTTCAAAACATTTTTGCCTACCAAAAGCTTCATCAAACCAACCAAACTACCAAAGGAGAATGAAGCCACCAATTTTGGTCCAATTGGACCACAACGGCAACGCTGATAAGCAGCCGCTTGTTGATGTTCACTTAACTAACGACCGCTCAGCAGCGCAGCGGCTGCGCCGGTAGCAGCGAAGCAAGCCTGGATTTGGGAAAGCAGGCCAGTTGCTGGAATTCTTAGCTCTCCTTCCTTCAGTGCTTCTTTGTCCGCTTCGGTAGACTGTTTGGCTCACAGTAAACCAGTAGAAAAGGTTTTTGTTTTTGTAGCTGTTTCGTGGTGAAATTCCTTTATGGGGGCCAAATTTCCCCACAAGAAATTGAGCGCATGGTTGCTTTTGCATTCCAAAAGAACGAATATTAGAAAACATTGAAAAAAAGTCTGAGATAATACAATTATATTCTACTAGAAATAAACTCGATAGTGTGCGCTAATTAGATAATGTGATAATCATGTTTAAAAACTCTTTACAAGTCTTATTTTTCAGAAATTAATATTGTGGATCAGATTGCTTTGAGCGCTTCTGTTGTTTACCAAGAAAATGCACCCCTGTTGGTTATTATTTCTGTATCGCAAAGCGGTGAGTTTCTATTTCTTGGTAATTCGGTTTGTGAAATGGTAAACAAATTATTGAAATTTATTTATTTGATGTGTTTAACATTTGACTAATGCAATTTTCTGCCTTTTCAGACTATTAATTACAAGCACAGCATCATCAACGGTGATTGCAAGAACTACTGCAATCCCTGCGGTTTTTCCTCTTGGTAAATGCGTTCTGGTCGTGACCAAGGGTGGTCTCCCAATCGGCCGGGAATAAGGTTAGTCATTTTCAATTTTATATCTTTGTTCATCGACATTATATGACATCTCATCATTGCAGGCTATTGTTGCAGAACAAAACGCCACAACCACCGCTGTTGTAAATATGTTCCAGCAGTACTGCCCACCGCCGTCGGAGTAATGATTTCGATAGCTGAACAAACGCCATCTCCTGGGCATTCCCACATACCGACAATAGCTATTATATCACGTGTGAATGCAACTGCGGCTAAATTTGGTTATTAACAGTGCAATAGTGCCATGTCATTGGCAAAAACACTAAGGGATGCTGGCACATAGAGGTTGTAAAGTTTTTGGAATCGATGAACTTACTCGAAGAAGACGATGGTCGAAAACATATGATGAAACATCTTCTGGCGTGCCTTTGACAATCGTTAAGTTAGACGGAGGCTTCACATACGATATTTCACACATGGCTGGAATTCGTTAGCGGACAGAGCACACATTTACAAAATATTTATCGTTCTGCAGAACGTGCATGCATATTCGATTCCGATTTTATGGGTCGATTACGGAGGACAACCGAACTTCAGTTGGTTGGCCAGTGGCTGAAATGGTATTACCGATGGCAACTAGCAACTGAAAGCTGGTAACTGAGTTGCTATATTGGCACAAACTAATCAAGGCTGTCATAGAATCCATCGTAGTCCGATTTTCCGTGAAATCTACGAAAATGCTATTAAATTCGAGTAGCTACGAACGCAGTGCTTGCTTTGAATACACACGTTCATAGCAGTTCAGATTCAGTGATCGCTTTTTTTAGATTTTATGAAAAATCGGACTACGATGGATTCCGCCACCAATATATTTTCTCCTTTGACAAGATGTTGGAGAATCGCGGCAGCACAGCCCTATACCTACCCTATGCTCTTACGCGCATATGCTAAATTTCTCGCACCTAGCTAAAGTGCTTGACAAAGGCAGAAGGCTTATCTTTAACATTATAACTTAAAGTAAAAGAGTTAAAGATATGCAATAAAAGAATACAACAGAACCAAAAAATCTCAAAACTATTAAACATAAAAAATTGCACGAATAAAATTCATAATTTAAAATAAAATAAAATATCGCAATTGTTTTTTATATGTACATACATATTTACAAAATGAATCTTAAAGCACCCACAGTAAGTCCTAAACATATAAACGACTAATAAGAAAAATAATAAATAACAGTAATGTGAACAAGTATGTCGAGAAATCTAAATAGTAGCTAAACTGTATCTGAATAATAACAAGTAATTTTGAGCAAAAAATACAACCGACCTTAATGCTCATTCAGGTCGTTCTGGTTACGTAGATCCGACTGTTCTCCCTTTTTTTAAAAAGGTTAAAAAATGAATACGTATTCTACAGAAATCAAGATACATATTTAAGGACTTTAAGTAAAAATAAACAAAGGAAAACTTGTTCGTGATATCTCGAGGTGTATCCATGATACAAAAATCTGAAGGTAAACCCGCTGAGAGGCAGCCTGAACATTTTTGAAGTTTGCTAACATTACAAAAATGTTTTCAAATTTCCAATCTCACAAATACATAAATAATAAATAAAATTTCAATATTTTCATCTATTTGTTTTTTGTTTTACTTTTATTTGGCATTTGAGTTGCTCTCAAAATTTCAATTTTATAAAACATGATAAAAACATTACAAGGTAAATTCATTCCCTCAATTCGTCGGCCATGATTTTGTTCTGACGTTTGCCAACATTTTAAAATCATATAAAATTGAAAATAAAAAAATTAAATTGTTCACAATTGTTGTTGTTTGAGATTGAAAATGAGAATGTGTGTGTGAGTTTGAGTTTTGATTTTAAAATTATATTGTTGGCAAACGTCAGACTGCCTCTCAATGGTTTTACCTTGTTATGTTTTTATCATGTTATAAAATAGACAAACTTCAAAAAATAAATGATGGCCGACGAATTGAGCAAGCGCTTTTACCTTTAAATATTTGTATCATGGGTGTTTTAAACAAGGTGTTATTGACAACTCAGTGCGGCTCTCTTAATATTATGTAAAAAATATAAACAAACGATTCAAAATGCATAAACATTTTTTTCAATTTGACTATAGGATGGTTCTTCTGAGAGCAATATCAAATTCAATCACACTTTGTTAAATACATTTTGATCTCTACCAAATATACTTCCTCTGTAAATATTCTATGAAGTGTTCCATAATTTGCTCCGAGCGCGTTCACTGTTGATCATTTGATTTAAATAGTTTGTCATACAATTAATACTATAGTTTGATCGGAGTTAATATATTCTTCAGTAATTAATTATATTATATTAAAACATAAGCTTATAAGAAATTTTTTAGTCTTAACATGCATATTTTATATCGTGTTCCAAAATTCGCTCCGAGCGCGTTCACTATTGATCTTTTGATTCAAATATTGTTTGTCAAGCATTCAGTAGTGAAGTTTGATCGGAGTTTATATATTCTTCAGTAATTAATCATAATACATTGAAATATAAACGTATAATATGGTAGAAAGTTAGAAATTATTTAGTCTTAATATGCATAATTCGCTCCGTGTTCCAAAATTCACTCCGAGTGCGTTCACTATTGATCATTTGATTTAAATAATTATTTGTCAAGCATTCAGTACTATAGTTTGATCGGAATATATATATTCTTAAATAATTGATCACATCTTATTAAAATATAAACCTTTAATAGGGTACAAATTGTGAAATTATTTGGCTTTAACATGTATAGTCGGCCAGAGACAATTGCAGAAAACTGCAACTACTCGTGAAAACTTACAATAAAAACAATGTAGATGAAAGTAATAAATTTTATTATTAAAATTAGATCCATATATAACACACTTTACATCATTTATTTGAAGTAAATCGTAATATATTTTTACATATAAGATAGTTTCCATTTAACTCATAAGGTACATATTTCACAACATATATTTTTAAGATCATTTCGAATTGCAAAAATAGCGCTAATTAGTTGGATTGAAGTATAAAATATTTTATTACCATCATGTTTACTTATAAACATAACAATATTTCTCTCGCCATTTATCCGATGTTAAAATTTTTCACCACATTATTTTGCTGCACAGCACCCTGAATGCGGCAAAATAGTTGCTCGCAACCCTCAAGTCCTTTATGGGGACCAAATTAACAGCCACAACAACAAAAACCTTTTCAACTGGTATACTGTGGTTTGGCTGCTTATTTGCGTTTCGGAGGAACGTTTATTTGCGTTTCGAATGCTTAAAATTTACTTTTTCATTTAATAAAACGCGAGCGAAATGTATGCGACCGTTCCGTTTGACTAATATTCGAATAAAAAAAAAAAAAAAATTTCCCAATTATCCGAAATTTTCCAAGCTTTCGTCGAAAATAAATCAAAATTTTCGCGTTCTTCCGGATTTTTCAGAGTTTTCCACTTTGAATTTTCTATTTTTCCATTCGAATGCCATTCCGAAGTAATTGCACACAAAATTCCATACAAAAAATCAATTTTCGATTTTTCCTATTTCCCGACTTTCCCGGAGGGGTTTCCCAAAACCCTTAAAAAAATTTTAGCCAAATCGGCCCAACCGTTTTCAATTGATGAATTACTATACATTTTTCACACCATTTTTATATGTACATATATAAAGATTTCAAATGGAGATAAACATTTTCTGCCAAAAAAATTGATTCTCTTGAAATAAAAACCTCTTGATGAGGGATACATTAAAAAGACGAAATACAAAATTGCAGTTAAAGGGAACCGAGAGCCACGACGATAAACTTAACACAAATAACTTGGGGAAATGCTAAGCTACAAAATCAAAAAAATAAATAAATAATAATAATAAAAAGGTTGACTCAGCCAAAATCTTGCCAGAGGTGTAATTTTTAAATGCCTTTGAAAAAATATATTTCATGAAAAAAATTTCAAAATGTGTATGTAGAATTTTAATCAAAGAAAAGGGGCAAAAGTCGCATGCTTTTTAAGAAAAGTCTCAAAATAAGCCTATTTTTAAAAAGTCAGTGTCAGGGGGCATCGATTTCCAAAAGTGTAAATCTGGCACTTTAGCGGCACAACGGTACCACTGAAGACAGTTCTTATTATAAAAAGGGTATTGAACTTATTGAGTTTCGCTGGAAAAAGTGTATAGAGCTGAAAGGAGATTACGTTTAAAAATAAATATATTTTTCCCCAAAATATTTGTGTTTTCTTTGTTAGGCCGGGTACTTCTGGGACCACCCCCGTATGATAGACAAAACAACTTACTTTTTTTCCTTAATAATTTTTAAGACTGCAAAGCAATGCTTTGTGAGCGCGACATAGTAAGAAAAAAAGAGAAGTTGAAAATGTTTATCAAATCGCACATGGGCTTGTTAAGCCTTCGTTTTCGATAAAGAAACGGTAAACTTAGCTAACTAAGTACATTATTCGAAAAGTTCTTATTTGAAAAGCAAAAGAAATTGGCTGTGCAATGGTTATCAAATCGACTTATCCAAAAAAATTGTCAGTTATTGTCAGATAAGTGATAAGCCGTTGGTGCAATTGGGCCCTGGTTTTGAGAAAAAAGTTTGCGAAAGCGGGTTCGTCAGCTGAGCGTTTGTTTACATCACAAGCACCACTATTTTACACATTTATTTAAGTAAAGAAGAGTTAATTCAACTTGACAACACATTTTAAAGCATTTGAAATGTATCATTTTACATAAATTGTGCGTTTAAAGTGGCTGACAATATTTTTGGCTAATTTTGGTTTTCGTTGCTTTCTTTGCTTTGTTTACTTTTCGCCCGTTTTCCAGTGAAACAAGGTGGCGTAAAACCCGCTCAAAAAGTCGACTTTTTCACTCTCTTGTTATTACGTGATCATGTGTCTTTCGTTCATGTTTTCCTCCCAAGTCTCTCCGAAACACTTCACTTTTGGCGTGTTTTCACTTCGCTCGAAAATTAGCAAACGGCAGGACTGGTGGTCACCATCAGAAATGGGCACTTTTGCCCGTATGGGCTTTTTTGCCCAGTTTTGCAAGTTTCAAGTGTCTGTAAAATAGCAGTGATTTTTGAAAATTTTTTTGGTGATGGTGCTGCGCATTTTCTCTCATACAAAGTATGCTCGACAAAATTTTTATATGGAATAAAATGCGCAGCACCGTCAATAAAAAATTAAAACATTTCAAAAATCAGGGCTAGATTAGAGTCTCTTGAAACTTGCACTTTATTACACTATAATTGAATGGGCTACAAAACTGCATATCTGAAATTCTAAAAACATTATTAACTTATTCACTGCATGTCATTAGGATGGCGCACTCCCATGTTGACCTTTTTTAAGAACTGTTTCCAGCTCTCAAGAAAAACGAAAAAATCATATAGAATGCTGGCAAGATATGGAAAAGAAATTTTCTTTTACGTTTTAATTTGTAAAAAAATTTTAAATTGCAATTACCCGTAGAATATGCTATATTTTTACAAAAAATGTATATTAAATAAACAAAAGGAAAACTGTAAATACTAAAGATTGAAAGGGCGTGCAATTCAAATGACGAGGAGGGTATATGAGCAGATGTGATCACTACTACAAGTAAACGCGAGCTGAAAGTGTGATTGTGTTAGTGTGCCAATTACCTTTGAATGATTTCGCGTTCACTTTGTTACGTTCTCGCATTTATTCGCATGCGATGCTTACGCTCTTTAATATTACATTTACATTGAGCCCAAATGCGTCATTTGGGCGAGAAACCTCAAATGCGAGGCCAAATCACGCATTTCTCCATACAAATTCACATTTCCAGAATGACGCATTTCGACGCATTTACACAAAATCACGAAACAAATGCGTTCCAATTGCCGTACTATTTTATTGAACGCACTCAGAAACAAAAGTTCCACAAAAGCTTTGGTTTGTCTTTGACATTTGGAATTTTTCAAACACAAAACAAACACAACGAAATAAATAAATCTTTGAAATTTGTGTGTAAAAATTGTTAATTTATACAAGAGCTTTACACATTTTTAGTTTAATCAAAGAATAATTGCCTTT